ACCAAAAAAGTAAATAAGTAAATAAAATCTGGACTATTCATAGGATTCTACCTCAAAGCCCTTAGGATATGTTGCCCGGAATACCTAAATGAAGAAGAGAGATATATTGAGAAAACTTTCAGTCTTTTTCACTATTCATTTGACGTTATCCTCAACGCAAAATAAAACAAGCTTGTAAAATCCAAAAAGCCAAAAACAAACACCACCAATACACTTCTGAGAAAAATTACACAAAATGCACACTCCTGCTCTCGAGCACTCTTTCTACTAACCTCGCAAACAAATTAGTCATCCCTAATACTAGGATTATTACCACCACTTCCAAGACAATCGGAGATATGATTAGGATAAACCCCAAACCGATTCAAATGCCAAGATTTATCAAATAAATTGTTTACAGTGCAAAAATGTTTATTTGGGGAGAGATCACGTGATTTAAAAGACCGCATCTACGAACATATGAGAGACTTGCGTTTGGACAAGCGATCTAACTCTTGTTTTGCATCGAAACAATGCTGGACATAATTTGATTTCACTAATGCCACTCTAATGAAAAAAGAACATAATTTTTGTGGAGAAAATACATTGAAAACTTAATAATAACATTAGTACCAACTATGAACACGCGCCTAAATCATTATATTACACCGCCATCTTTCTTTGAATCCAATCTAGCTTATATGTATGTAATACAAAGAATACATTCTTAAATAGGCAAGCCATAGATTAGAAAATTGTAACTCCCCGGTGCACGGGCTGACCGCACAAAGGTGAAAATAAAATCCCCACTAGGCAGACATACCCACACAATTACAAATGCATATTATCATCCGATGCCCACTTAGCCATGCAAGAAACTTCACAAAATATATACACATAGAATTATCCACGGCTTTAATACACGTAACACGTGTCTGACCAATGAGAACTGACCCAAACATAATTGAAAATACCAGTATTTTATGTCTTTTTGTCTGTTTTCTCTCAATCTATGACAAAACTTTAATAAAAGTGAACCTGTCAGATTGATATACGTTTTCTATTTGTTCTTTTATTTTTATCATCCTGTTGATACTCATATTTGAAATAAAAGTCTGTTTTTATTTTAATTTTAGTATATATATATATATATATATATATATATATATATATATATATATATATATGAAGAAATATAGTCTTAAGATGTGCTATATTTATGGGATAAAGTGCTCAATATCAGAGATAGGGAACATTGAAGTCAACACTTAGAGGCGACAGTCTGTTTCATGCTAGATGCAATCGTCAGAGCACTCGTGGCCTGACGACTGTATCTAGCATGAAACAGACTGTCGCCTCTAAGTGTTGACTTTATGCTATATATATATATATATATATATATATATATATATATATATATATATATATATATATAATGTTTTCGTGTGCGTATTATGAAAGAATGGCATTGGAAAATGAATGATAAAATGCTTCTTTATATCCTCGTTAAATGAGATTATTATTTATTTGGGGGTGTTTAAATTTTTTTTAAATCGTTAAATGTTTGGCACAAGATGATTATATAGTTCCTTTTTCTGATAAAAGAAAGAGCGAAGACTAGAATTTATTGATTTGACACTAATTTCCTTATATCAAATTCTAAAATCGGTTAAATTCTCTTAGATCCCAATCTTAGCAAATTAGATTTTGGACTCAACCTCTGTTGGGAAATTCAATGTCCTTGTAATATAATGACTGAAAATTAAAGCGTTAATCTCATCTCGGAAATGGTTGTAAACAACAATAATACAAGCAGCGAATTTCGAAAATTAAGTATCAGTAAAACAAGACTATGTGAATTTATAACATTGGCTCAGTAGAGCAGTAGACTAAATAAAGCTAACTAGAAATCTGTAAAAATTAAACTTGAGAAGATTACACCACATTGTGTGCCGGGATGCTCGCTAGGTGGCGTTTTATTCAGGACTATAAAAGAAGAATCATAAACACTATCGCTCTCTTTTTGCTCCGAAATTTAATAGTCATGTAAATTCACATATAATAATGACAAGGAATCTATAGAGAATCATGATTGGCTACGTATGAAGTCTCATGGCATTTTCTGATTTTAAAAAATAGTATCAAACCTTTGTGATAAGTTACGGCGATCGGGCCAACATTATTGTGCCCACCAACGCGTCGAATCATTAGCGCGTAGATTAGCTGAATATGTTCCTTATTTTGGCATTACTTACCCTTTCTAATTCTCTTAATTCAATACAACGAAACAATACCATTTCCAATGACAGAACCCTCAACAATGACACGCTTTCTTTAACTGTTGCAGTGTAGCTAGTACTCACTCAATATACATCCGACCATCGGACCTCAAAATATTAAATATTGATTCACGTTTATTTCACGTTCCAATCTTACGATACTAATTGATTTAGGTTATATCATATGGTATTCACAATTAATTCAAAATAACAATTTGGGTTTACATCATTATTTTTTATGCCGGTAAGGTCGATGAATAAGCTTATCGGTTTGCATGGTGTTCTTTCTTGGTTACGCAGATCTGATAATATCACAACAGAAAATGGCAAATCTCAGAGCAAATCTCAAGAAATCGTCATCATCAGTGCGGATCTAAGCGCAAATTAGGAAAAGCGAATGATGGTTATTTTTTCGGTAAGAAATGGGATTATAAAGGGGGTGTATTGTCATGGTCAACAAAAGACAGGAAACTGTGCTAAGCCATGATCACCCACATCCGGAAGTGACTCGTTACATAGAGATAAACAAGAATCATCAATATCTATTTTACGAAGCTTCTTATCAAACATAGTCAATAGATTTCTTTTATCTACAAACAGTTTTATCCTTGATAGTGAGCATTCTTTTCCGATATATATGGCAAATTTTATATTTTTATTCCTTAAAATTTGCTATATTTCAAGGGGAAAGATCTTCTGTAGATATAAACAGTGTGGTCACAGAAATCAACATTGCATTTTGACCATAGTTTTACGGCTTAAGCGATCATCAGATATTTATTCTCTGGAGTCATAATGGAGTCATAATCGTAAGTAGCGCCCTTGGAATTTATATTCGTATCTTCATTTAGAAATGACCGCTGATCTGTAGGAGTTTATGTTACCCTGGAAAGAATATTATAGCTGCAATTGGTTTAAGTATTGTAAGTTAGTGGGTTTTTTTTTTTTTGTTATTAACATTTTTTTTTGTTTTTTAACTGTGTCTTGAAAGTGTTGAGTTATGTTCATATTTTCTTTTTCCAGAGACCTGTTATTCTTATATTTTTTTCTGGACTTCCTTCTTCAGTAGCCTAATTATTTTATATTCAATGCGAAACAAAATGCCCATAAAATATTACAAAACAAAAAAAATAACGACCCATCACCTGAAAAACTCAATGAATCAAAAATATATTCCCCTGCGTACAAATTCTATCACATATAAAATCGAAAATATTTATCTAAATTCAACATAAAAGTTGTTACTACAACATCCAAAACAATAAAAGTAGTTTAGTTAATACTAAAAAAAATAAATAAGCTAAAACCTGAAGGAGGAGTTTACACTATCGCCTGTAATCATTGGGACAAAAAAATATATGGAAGAAGCTATTATGTTTTATCTAAGGGAGATAACTGTAATTTATTTAATGGTAATTTTTTAAAAAAACATAAAAGGTTTAAAACATAATAGCCTTAACAGTCAATTTTTTTAATTAATTAAACTGGTGTGCATTCGGCCGTGTCAATAATTATAACAGAGCGCGTTTCATGCGCATTTACAAAAAGTTCAGAACTATCAATTAAATTAATTATCTCTCTCTTTTCTCTCTGTGCCTCTCACTGTATCTATCTATCTATCTATCTATCTATCTATCTATCTATATATATATATATATATATATATATATATATAAACTTAAAAACCGCTCTATCGGGTGGCATTTAAGCTAGCTCCTGCGGATAGTTCTTAATTGAGCCTACATTGCACTAGGTAGGGAGGAGAGGATTTAATAAGCAACAATAAACTACAGAAGAACGCAAAATTGATGGCTGCATTTATTGCATTAATATTTAAGCTATATTTAAGCTTACCTTTTAAAAGTTCAGTGATAATTCTTCTGTCGCCTACGTACATCTAACTGTCTTTAATTTAAAGATAATTCGATCTACGTAGGTCCTTAATTTCCGTACAAGCTACTATTTTTATTTAATACGTGACTTTCGCTGGATTTCGCAGTTAATTTATTTCCAACTTATAAAATTGTTACCGTACAAAAATATTGTCGCAAAAAATCACGTAAAAAATAGCCGAAAACAATCATAGTAATGAAAAGTTGGGAATCTAAAATTTCAAGGTCTGAATGTTTTTAATTTGCTCACGGAGTCGTCTTGATTCCAAAATAGCATTATATGTTCGGCTAACATTCGCATTTATTATATATATATATATATATATATATATATATATGTTTGTGTATGTGTGTGCACGCGCGTGCCTGTGTATTTGTCTCTGTGTGTGCGTGTGTGTGTCCTCATTGGCATTTTAGAATTGACAGCTACCTGATTTGATCATGAAGGCTTGTGTTTATACTTTTCGAAGATTTAAATACAGAAAACTTGTTCACATAGTAGGCCACAATGTCTCCAAACACACACACACACACACACACACACACACACACACACACACACACACACACACACACACACAAGCATTTATATACATATATAATTTTTCACAAGCAGTGCAATAAAGCCACACAGACGCAAGGGTTTCTTTCGTAGAAACTCCTATATTTATTTTTACACATTCTCTGTCCCAGAACTCTGAGTTTCATGCACGATTCAATCATCAGGTGCAGATTGAATTTCAGTCAGCACTTGACGATTGCATCGAGATGTGCTACGGATGAGGAACTAAATTTCTATTTATTATTATTAGCTGTGTAAAAGAAAAGTTTTTCACCATTAGGTGACGCTTACGGCGACATCACGTTGAGGCACCAGTTCCCGTACGATCACCGAACTTAAGCAACGTCGAGCATGGCCTGTACCTAGGTGGACGACCTCTTGGGAATATCAGGTGCTAAATTCGTGGATGTCCAGGTGGTGTAATGGATAATATCTCTGAAGTGTTAATCAGAGAGCCGAGTTCCATTTCCAGTTAGATTCGTTATATTCACTTACGCGCAAATGGTCTTCGGAAAGGTAAGGTTCCTCCTCTTCACCCCCAACTATGGGTTAATTAGTAAGACTTGTATCACTAAACCATTATTATCTCCAAAACTAAAACAAAACTGCGTAATAAATATTTAGATTTGGCATTAAATAACCCATAGAGATTCATTTGGCGCTAAACAAAAAAATCATTAAGTGACAAACATGTTGATGTATAGAATTGAACATTTACGCATTTACATACGTATATACTTTGACTTTTGTGTTTCTGAATGTATGTTATTTGATTATTTTAATCCTAGAAAATATATTTGGGCATTAAATATCAACCTTTTTTTCTCGTCCTTGTCAGTAATTAATTTTGTTTCGTGATGAGTTTCTTTCAGCCGAGGATTGAATAACGTTTGATTTTTTTTTTTTTTTTTTTTTTTTTTCAGCATGCCAGGGATGGGATAAATTTCTTCTTCTTTTTCTTTGCACTGAAAGAAAACTTTATCGCCTTCTGCGGAGTTTCTTGTGGGATCGAACTCCAGGACAAAATCGATCAATCACAGATTTGAAAGTCAGCTTTAGCAAACACGGAAAATAATGATATTTACATTTGACAGGCTGAGTCAAAGACTGGAAGGGGTTAGAGTAGTTCTATGTGAGGGGTTAGAAGCGATTACAAGTTGCTTAATCATACTAATCCTTTAATTAAATGTCTGTCAAACCTCTTTCATCATCTTAAATGATAGACATGCAATAAAAGGCATGAAGTTTTGTTACATTTCATAATGGAATCCAGAGGATTTTTTCCAGTTTATGCTCCGTTTTCTTTCTATTGTTCCCTTTTAATTGTTAACCTTATTGACACTTTTTTTTTCTTAGCTTTTTCTGTCCTCATCGTCTTCTATAATTACTCGTAGCTTTCATCAGTGCTAATTTTCCGAGAAACAACAACTTTATGCCAATCAGAAAATAGTTTATCTTTCCTTATGCTTTTCTTCTCTCTCTTTCTCTCCCCCACCCCGCTTGAGAGCACCGGGTTCTCTAAGCGACCTCCGACAGTCCGAAATATATTTCGGCTTTAAATGAGACTTTGTGGATTATTTAAAGTCAAAAGATATTCGTCAGATTTTACTTGAAACAACCGGGTTGATAAACCGTAAAAAACAAATCAATCCATCTCTCTTCATTCTCTCTCTCTCTCTCTCTCTCTCTCTCTCTCTCTCTCTTATATACACACAAACACACAGAGACATACAGACACAGACATATTTATGCTTGTGTCTCCGTGAGTTACCTTTATGAAATGTTTATTTTTATATTCATCCATATTTTTATTGTGGCAGTTTTTCTTGCTCTTCATCATCATCGTTGACATCATCATCATCATCACCACTGTCGACGTTATCATCGCCATAATCATCATCGTCGTCATCATCATTACCAAGATTTTGCAAGTATCTATGTGACACTCACATTTATCTGGCTGTTCCATCTTTCAAACTTAAAAAAAACCCTCGATATCCGGCCACTCCTGAACAGATATGTACATTCCTTCTGCCCGTATCAGGTAATGACAAACAATTCCATCGAAACTTAACGGGATATTTCCTTTTTATTTGTTTTCCGCTTTGTATCCGGTAGAGCTGTGTCCAAACTTTGGTCCTTAGGCGAATTGTCATTTAACTGATTGCACTTAGTATATGGGATGTTCCTAGTAGGGCGATCTTCTGGGCAACTTTTATGTTGATGTTACCTGGGACACTGTTAGTAAAATTGTCCAATCTGTTTCCCACGAGGACCTGAACTCCGATTACAGTCTCAGTTTCCATTGCTCACATCCTGTTAATCGCGACCTCCAGGTCCTTCTATTTGGACAATTTCTCGAAAATTTTCATGGAGGTGTTTCTCTCAGATGGTACTGCTATCTCAATAAGCAAACACTTCTTGAATTTCTTGTCTTTTATGATAATATCAGGTCTGTTGGCTTTAATTTCCCTGTCATTTTTAATTGGTATGCCCCGGGGGATAGTTACATCGTTATTTTGGGTAACTGTGTCTGGTTGGTATTCATACCATCTCTCAGTGGTTTCGATTTTGTGCTTCTTACATATCTTCTAATACACACATGTTACTACTTTGTTATGTCTGTGGGTATATTCATTTTTTGCTAGTTCTGGGTATCCTGAGTTAATATGATCGGCAGTTTCACCATTTTTCCGCAGATCTGGCATTTCGGTTTTGTTCCATCCTTGATTATGTGACAGTGATAGGATCTGGTTGTCTCAGCTTTCAACCCGATGCTCCCCAGCCACTGATGTGTTTTCTGTTGATCCACAAATGTTCCTTTTATTCTTTTTAAGTAATTTAACATGTAACGCCAAGTCCTCCCAATTTTTTTTTTTTTTTTTTTTTTTTGTAATTTCATTTGGCCAAATTGTTTTGCTTTCCGTTGCCTCGTTTGGCGTAGATGGTATTCGGTCCGTTTTTTGTTGACAGGCTTTCAGGTATATTAAGCTGTTTCTTCAAAGAGTTGAATTTATATCTGTGAATACTGATGTTCAGTAGGCAGCTGAGTGGCTGTAATGCAAGGGAGAAGAGTAGCGGTGACAATGAATCTCTTTGGAAAATCCCACTTTTGATATTGATTAGTCACGAAGTTAATGACCCATTTATATAGTTTAGTATATAGTGTAGTCTTCCAGTTTTTCATGATCTCCGTTATGGATTTGACTGTTGTGAAGCATACCTGTATATTTTTAGGCTCTTCCCTATCTCTGAATCTTGTACACTTTCGAACTCCTTTCTCTAGTCGATCCATGTTATCAATAAGTTTCTTTTCCTTGTTTTCACCTCTTTCAATATTGTTTTATTGATGCTTCGTTTTTCCCTTGCACCCACAATTTCCTCTTTTACGTCCCTTCTGCTCTTCTGGGAGTAAAGTGTTTTCTCAAAGAAGCTGTATGTCCTCTCGGTTATGATAAAAGTGATGACCTTGTACATTGTTGGTAAGCAGGTGATGGTCCTTTAGTACTTCGGGTTCTGCGTCTCTCTTTTTCTTGAGAGTATGTATTTTACTCCCCACGTGAACCATTTGGGACATTTTCCAGGGTTTATGATTATATAATTGTATGTCTGTGCAAGATCTTGGTGGGTGCTGGATAGGATTTTTATCCAAAAGTTGGCTATTTGGTCTATTCCTGTTGTTTTACAGTTTTTGTTTTTTCCAAATGCAGGGGGTGTTCCAGTAATATTGATATTCGTCAATTTTTGGCGCTCTATATGTGTATGTTGTTCCTGTTGTTGCTTGATCCATGTAACTTTTTCATTGTGCATTTTGCACCAGAACTCCTCGTCTTCCTGAAGATTAGGTGGGTCATTTATTTCTATTTTATTTTCCCCAGCTCTCGAGTTTCTTGGCATCTTCTTTGAAGATCTTGTTTTGTCAGAAGAATCTGTTTCTTTTTTCATAACGCTTGATTCTCTGTACCTTCACTTGAATTTGCAGTTTCAGCTTCTCTTTAAAAATTTGGTCCGTCAGTCTTATTTTAATGTCAAACTCCGTTTCAAGTGTCTCCTTTTTCTTTCTTTCATTTTGGAGCCATTGTATACTTCACTTAGAAGTGACAATTGTCCTCGAGGCTTATTTATTTCGGTTCCCATTTTTTCTTTCCAGATTGGCAATTTTCTTTTTCGTTTACGTTGTGTTTTTACTTTTTCAACTTTTACTGTTTCTGCGATTGTAGCCGAAGCCGCATATATAAGATGATTAATTTCTGCCAGGTTCATCCGTTTTTTCCATTTCGTTCCTTATTTTTATAATTGCTTCGTTAGCGAGGTTGATGGTTACCTTCACTTGACGGTTCTTACTTTTGGAATTGTTGGCTTTTCCTCGAAAAGCCAACAAGATAACAAAATGAGGAGTCGAAATGGTTGGTGCTTAATTTTTTACATTCTTCCATTTATATCGGATATTTTTTAATATCTCTTTCTCTCTCATAATCGTCATTATTTTACTCTAGTTGCTTGTGTACCTCAGAGGGATTATTACACCTGGTTTCTGTTTGATCTTCTACATGTGTTCCCTTTCCTTTTTTTCCTGATGATGTCACGTCTGACATTGGCTAGTTTGTTGGCATCGATGTTTTGCCTGTTTGAGGGATGTTTTTCTGGTTATGTATTATAGAAAGCTTTGGTCGTTGTTGTCGTTGATGGATTTATCGTAGCAGTGCAAAATACTAAAATTACTTCAATATATTCTTCCCTAAACCATTTATTTATTTTTCTGTTTGTGGGGTTTTATTTTAATGAATATAGAGGGAATTTGTGAGGACTGTTGATGACGTGGTTTCCCTCTAGCTCTCGTTGGGTAGAGTTTGTTCCAGGTGCAGACGTTTCGATCCCAGTCTGGTTCCTCATTGGGGATCGCGGTCTTTGTTGACCTGTGTGACGACCGATGCGATTTAGCAATATTTATTGTTGTGTCAGCATTATAGTTAGTTCGTATTTACGTATGAGTGGGGGCATGTTCGTGGGAGCCAGAGCATATCCATAACATGGTGAGCCATCACGTTCAGGAGGGCAGGCCTCCACCTGCTATTTTTTTTTTTTTTTGCTATTAACAACAACGGTAAAATCTCCATTTTAAAGTGTTTGGATTCGTAGGAGACACGATGTGTTTCATGAGAATAGGACATTTTCTTTGACTTTTTCTCTCTTATGTTCAATAATACGAAACTATATTAAAATCTCCCTAATCCTGTCATTACACAAATATATTTTACCCATCAATACAATTAATAAATAGATACTTATAATATTTAAAGAAAAGTTTATAAGTGTTTGTATATAAATTACTAATAAATGTATAAGAAAAGAATATTAAAAAAATAACCGATAAGTCACTATAACCATAATCCCAACCACAACTACCACCATTATTATCACTACTACCATTATATTCCTCTTTATTCCTCTTTCATTTTAAGAATCTAATAAATCCTCAATGTTCTGCGCGAATAAGGTAAAAAAATAAAGATTTGCAGCAAAAATTAATAAAACTAATAGGTATCGATTACATATCAGGTATATCAACAAATAATATAACTTAGTAACATGTCTCTAAAATTAAAATATTATTAATCTAAAAATTAATGTGCGGCTTTCTACTAATCAATGTTAATATATACTCACGCACGCACACACACACATATATATATATATGCATAAGCATAAACAGGCATACATATGCAATTATACATACATATGTATACAAATTATATAATATTATTATCAACATTATCATTACTACAATTATTATTATTATTATTATTATTGCATTATGTTTCATTTTTTCTTCCTGTCAGCAGTGTCTGTCTTGTAACTTTCAGCAATTTGTTTAAATGACTGCTACTAGGATACGCTTTTCTAATTCGAACTAAGACGCCGTTTTTATTATTATTATTATTATTATTATTATTATTATTATTATTATTATTATTATTAAACATGTCATGAATTTCCTGGAAAGATATTTCCTTTAATCTTCCCAGCAGTTTGTAATAAAGATTGTTTGAGATGCTTTTTAAAACAAATAAGTATTTTTTACAGGAACGAGAGATTTAACATCTAAACTAGCCATGAGTTTATCTGTCATATTTATTCCCCCGACTTTTTCGACACTTTTGTCTGAAATTTAAATAAAGAAATATATCAATTTAAATAAATGATTATATGGAAAGCAAAAGAGATCTTTTACAAACAACACACTCAATTAGTTGCTCACCGTGATGAGTTTAACCATAATTTCGATTAGAAAAATGCCACATTAACTAAAAAAAGAACCCAATTTACTAAAACGAAAGTGTATAGAAAGTGCTTTAATCGCTAGATCATCGACATTAAATTTGCTTCCAGATTCTTACAACATTTCACCTTTCTTGGCAGATTTTCTTTTGTCAAAATGTGGGAGAATGAATAATAATAAAAGTAATAAAACGAAATTATAAAGAAACTAAAACAAATCGTTAGACTTTGTGCCTAGACACATCTAAAAAAATAAATTTAAAGGTTTAAAATGTCAGCGACTCAACATTTTCAGCGTTTTCTATCTATGCATAATAATAAAAAATGTTTGGGTTTTTGAATGCTCCTCCCCTCTTCCTACGTATATATAATTACATCGACAAAAATATTTCTAAAGGGCGAAACGCATTAGTCAATAAAAATTTTCTACTTTGACATTAATTTACCTGACATTGTTCTGATATATAAAACTTTATAAATCATCTTTTCCTATATCTATATATACATAAATATGTATACCTATAATCAAGCGTATATACGCTCAGATATAAATGCATACATGTGTTCGCGCATGTGCATCCATATATGAAGCTATTTAAACTGATAATTGCTGATTTTGACAAATTCAATATGTGTATAAAATTCAGTCTCACCTTCCCCGAGCAACCAAGAAAACAGATTTTAACACAAGATAATTGCATTATTTATATCATACAGGGAATACTTTTTTTATATCAAATTGAACAGTTCCAGACTACTACTAAACCAAGGCTTTTTTTTTTTTTACTGGAGTTACTATATCTGTTGTAATAAGTGTTAAGCTTCCTTTGGGATAAAAAAGCCAGTTCGAAGTGAAAATTTTAATTTCTTTAATATCTTTTTCAGAATTATTGCATCAGTAGAAGAAATTCAAACTGTCATTTGGAGTGAAGCACTAGTGTGGTAACATGTACAGCACAACTAATATCTAATCTATCGATCACACAACCTGATCTTACCTATTTACTAATTCCATTGTTATAACAAAAGGAGCAATACTTAAAATCAATAAGCAAATAGGCCACATGTTCCCACGAAGATCAAGGGGAGACCAGGCTGCTAATACACTGGTTATTTTTTGTTTGTTCCGTGTTAGCATACTTTAGTCATCTTGAAGACTAATCGATAAATAAGATTTGAGCTTATCTAACGTATTTACTATTTACTAATCCTCAAATCACTTTTTAGATTTTCATTTGACACTATCTGACAGTGGACTGAAACATTCCCAGCCCAACCAGAAGCCCTTCCAAAAACATATTTGGTCAGATTTTGGGAAGTATGTCAGACGGAAAATTTTTATTTTTCATCGGTATCACCCCCATTCAAGGCATTAAAGCCACTAAGACACAAGGGGTTACTGGGTGCAGATTAATTAGGAACAGAATCATTAATAATGGGTGAGAACAAAAGAAGAGTAATAAGGAGGAATGTAGATAGCGATTGACATTGCATTTAATTTTTTGCAGATTAAAGTTATTTGAAAAACATGGAGGCGGAAGTGAGTTCCACACGCGAGAAGTGCAAGAAAAGAATTTTTAGCATAGAATTTACAGCTACGTCTAGCCAAGTCAACTGTAAATTGATAATATCTCGACGTCAAAATAGTAATGCGCTTAAATTCAAAAGCTCGTCCGAATAATTACCATAAAAATATTGATAGGAAAGACACGGAGAGGCAACCTTACAGAATTTAAACATAGAATGTGTTTATATATTCAAATAGGTGAGAAAATCAACAAGACCATAGCGGGATGATAAAAGAAGCATTAATTTCACCATAATCAACTTCTTTGTCAAAGTATTTAACAAAACGCTTCTTCATTAATCAAGCAGTTACAATTAAAATGTCCGCTCAAAATGCAACTAATAACGTTATGTTAGGCTATACACTTATTGATCCAACTCGTATACGTTCGTGTCTAGTTTCATTTTCTTTATTTATCTATCCTATAATCCTTTACATGAGGCAAATATGGAGAAATGCCAATAATGACCATTTCTTAAAGGGTCACGTCGTTATAAAAGAAAGAGTATTCAATTTCTCTATGTCTCTTATGTTATATGGCTTCTTTGCTTTTCCCATTCTATGTGATTCTATGAGAATCGTCTCAGATTCTCTGAAACATTGTTTCCTCGGTGAATTTGACATCTACTGAGTTAGGAAAGAATTCAAAGTAACAAAGTGAGGAGTCGAAATGGTTGGTGCTTAACTGATGCCTATTGACATCTGACAGCCATCGATACTAAGGATCTCGAAGTTGGATAAAGAAAAGGTGAATCGAGTACAGAGTTCCATAGGATTCGATTTACGATCGTCTATTTTGGAAGAAGGTAAAGTCTGTGCAGCATATTTTTTACAGTTATAAGACAATGAACGAAACCGAGATAGATAGATAGATAGATAGATAGATAGATAGATAGATAGATAGATAGGAACAGACTGAGATAGATAGATAAATAGATACAAAGAGACTTGGATAGATAGATAGATAGATAGATAGATAGATAGATAGATAGATATCAACAGAGATAGAGATACGAACAGACTGAAATAGATAGATAGATAGATAGATAGATAGATACGAACAGACTGAGATAGATAGATAAATAGATACAAAGAGACTTAGATAGATAGATAGATAGATAGATAGATATCAACAGAGATAGAGATACGAACAGACTGAAATAGATAGATAGATAGATAGATAGATAGATAGATAGATAGATATGAACAGACTGAGATAGATACGAACAGACTGAGATCGATCGATCCATAGACAGACAGATACGAACAGACTGAGATAGATAGATAAATAGATACAAAGAGACTTAGATAGATAGATAGATAGATAGATAGATAGATAGATAGATAGATAGATATCAACAGAGATAGAGATACGAACAGACTGAAATAGATAGATAGATAGATAGATAGATAGATAGATAGATAGATAGATAGATACGAACAGACTGAGATAGATAGATAAATAGATACAAAGAGACTTAGATAGATAGATAGATAGATAGATAGATAGATAGATAGATAGATAGATATCAACAGAGATAGAGATACGAACAGACTGAAATAGATAGATAGATAGATAGATAGATATGAACAGACTGAGATAGATACGAACAGACTGAGATCGATCGATCCATAGACAGACAGATACGAACAGACTGAGATAGATAGATAAATAGATACAAAGAGACTTAGATAGATAGATAGATAGATAGATAGATAGATAGATAGATAGATAGATAGATATCAACAGAGATAGAGATACGAACAGACTGAAATAGATAGATAGATAGATAGATAGATAGACAGACAGATATGAACATGCTGAGATAGAAAGCAATAAGAAATGTTTTTATATACAGTGGTCATTCGCCTTCATTTTTAATTGTTCTATAGTGCCTGAAAATATTGTATATTTTCTAAAGTTTACCTTGACATTAAACACGGCTTCAGGGTGATCGTGATTTAACAAAGGATGCCGACCGATAAGCAATTTCCTATAAAAATGTCAAGGCCAAAGGAATCTGTCAACTCTGACAATCTTGTACATTACAAAAGTTCGAGATTAACTAATTTTATTTTTGATAATTTTTTTAATCATTACACCCCAAGCAGGGCAATAAAGTCACTAAGACGCAACGGGTTACTGAATGTGAGATAATATGAGAAAATACTATTAATGAGAGAGAACAATAAACGAACAAGAATTAAGAAGACAAGATAACGATTGACATTGCATTTCAATTTTTGAAGATCAAAGCTGACTGGAAAGCAAGAAGCTGGAAGAGATTTCACCAAGCGATATGTGCGAGAGAGTAAACTGTTAGCATAGAACTTACGGTTGCATCTTACCATTTCAACTGCAAAATGATGGAATTTTACCACCAATCTAGTACTGCGCTTAAATTCTTAAAGTCTATGTACCATAGAGAAACGTTTATCAGAACAATTACCATGAAAGTATTCATAGCAAAGGCCCAGAGTACTACATTCCAGAGGTGGGAAAGTGATTGAAGCTAAGATGTCAGGTCAGAAGCAACAACATAGCATATTCTTCTTTGGATTTTATCAAAAATCTGTAAATATATAGCAGGATCCCCAGACCAAACTTATTGTTGAGATGTTGAGTGTTTCCCTGTGCGTGTATTGAAATAAGGACAAACACATACGTAGGGAAAAATACTGGTATATCTGAAGAGGTATTTACAACAGAGAGATTAGTAGTCAAACGAACGCAGGTTAGTCAGTAACAATCAGAAAGAGTATAAAGTCCAACTGTATCTTCCGGTAGAGAGACGGAAGTGTGATGGTCACCTGATCTCCCAGAACTCTCCAAAACTGTCCTATTAGTAGTAGAGAGATCAGTCCATTCTGATGAGAAGGTGGGTGCGCCCCAACACTTATAAATATGTAAGATAGATTCCGGAGAGAAAAATTGTCTCGCTCGACAAACTGAACCAACTTCTCTAACAGTAAACCTAGCCATTGATTCAATATAATCAAATAATGTAAGCTGGAAATGTCAGCACGAGAAGGCGCAACTAGTCACCCTCCTAGAGGTTAGCATCAGCCATATTGATAAAAGGCAAAAAAGGCATCTCTCCAATAATTGATAGAGTGCCATTTAATTTTGGAGGCGTTAAAATTACAATGCAGTTTCTTACTCCAGAGTTAACATCTGATTGTAAGTCTAGTTAAGAACAGCTACCAATTTGACCTGATCGAATCGATCAGATTCACGATCGAGACAGAAATAAATAGTATTTGGTGATGTCTTCAAATGAGTTGGGAAACAAGTTTTAACAAGCCTCACCAAATTAATATTTTCGATAATATTCCTCGGTTTCCGCCAAATTATTTTTTACAATCATCTGGAAAACAGTTTCTTTTTATTCTCTTTTTGGTCACATGTAACGATTTGCTTTTCTTTTCAGCTGACTCCCCAAACTCTTCTCAACTCTTGTTGCTAATCAGATAGTTACTACAATACTTGAAGGATCCGAAGGTAGTAGGTATAATTACACCTTTCTAATATGAATGAGAGATGAAAGCACAATTCACAGCCGCTCATTTTATAGCCGGTCTTCTAATCTTTTACCTACAACTGTAAGCAATTAACTGTAAGCACATTATTTTATTGTTTCAGCTGGAAATATTTGTACAGTTTATTTGGGATTAAGTAATTGCATTAAATGTTATTAGCTTATTAGAAATATGGATCTTTCGTTCATTAATGTTATTTCATGAAGCACCGAACTGATGGTGGCAGTGTGTGAATTTGTGTCTAATGTGTTAAACTGGTGAGGACTATTTAATATTCAAAGCAAAAAAAATAAAAATAAAAATCAAAGTATTATTTCTTATATACTGATTATTTTTCCATGATAAAGCTAAAAAAGTATCGCTCAGAACATTCACATTTTCCCAAAATTAAAACGTCTATTGTCAATGACAGCTAAGCCTTTTCGCTAAGATATAAGTAAAATACTTTTAAAATATGGCGTATTCAATAGGTTTAAATGTTTATTTAAATAAATGAGTTTCATGGCATGTAATTGGGAGAAGCCGATGATTTCAAAGCGAATATTTAAGCTACTAATTTATATTATATATACTAGTAGAACAACTGAAAATTTTATAGTTTTGATGTTTAAATTTTATTTACTATCTTTTTTTTTTCTCATTGAAGCCAAACAACGTCTCTGATAAGTCTTTTCCGTTTTTCCTCGCGATCAAAACGGAGCAGTCCATTATTTATGAGATATTGTCAGGGCGTTTCTTTCACTTTTTCTTTCATGAAGCCAAATAGTATCTCTGATATGTCTTTTCCGTTTTTTGCACGTAACCAAATCGGGATAGTCGATTATTTATGAAGGTATTAACATGACGTAACATACGGGCTAATAAAGGAACTAAGGGAGGCACAAGAAGAATTATAACACAATAATCTACTAATAGTTTATATTTATAGTCATACAGCTTTATCAATGTAATACGCATGACTTTCGTGGAGTAGTTTAATAAAAATCAAATCAAAGAATATGATATTTTTTACATCTTTTAAATAAAGAAAATTGTCCGCATGACTATATGTACCCAAAACTGCACGGAAATCAAATTAATTTGCTGATTTCAAATGAAATTAGGCAACCATGTCATTTTTATTCCGAGAGACATAATGAATCGCGTTAAATAATAAAATGAAAGTATGTTATTTATTGTGTTATGTATAAACAGATTTGACAATATTATTTAGTTTCTTTTTTCTGCCTCATTATCACCTTTTATTTAAGAACCGATACTTTTCAACCACACTACTAGTAGTAGTTGTATACAAACTGATCTAAGTAATTTGGAAAAATCGTAAATGTAAATTTAATGACACATCTAAGTCGTTTACATGTTAAAATATTTTATCATTTTAAATGAATTTTTAGCCGTTTTAAAGGATTCCAAATTATGAAACTAGGGTTGATGAATATATATATATATATATATATATATATATATATATATATATATATATATGCACAATTCGCAATTCCTAAAGGCGTATGCTACAATGCACACCTGATTGTCTTATCATTCCGGGCATGCGCATAAATCCAGTACTAGTGGACGGTCAATGTACGAGTGTATAGATTTGTACATTTGCCAAGTAACCCGTCACTAATTCACATACAAAAATACAATAAAACCTGAACAAAAATAAGTTGTCAGTCATATTTAACAACACACACACACACATAGATAGATAGATAGATAGATAGATAGATAGATAGATAGATAGATAATTTACATTTAATAAAACTCAATACCCACTACGGAAAAATTTCTTACCCTTAATGAATTTTTCCTTAGGAGGTGAAATGCCTATCCATATGGGGTACTGAGTTTCATTAAATGTAAATTATCTATATATTCTCTATAATAAATATATTGAGCTCTCTTTAATATTTTTATTATTAGGATTCACTTGGATTATTTACCCATATATATATATATATATATATAGGTAAAAATAATAATAGGTAAAATACACACACACACACACACACACATATATATGTATTTGTGTGTATGTGAGAGGTAATGTATGTGTGTGTTTGCGTGTGCGTGTGTGCGTAAGTTTGTCATCAATTCAATACTCTAATGTGGAAATATCTATGACATTTAATTTTCATAATTAATCTTAATTTTTTTAGAATAATCGCTTTCTGCGTTTATGTCCTTAATCAACGCTTCTCCATCGATCACATTCTTCAAACATGTTAGTGTGATTTTGTGAAAGTTTCAGATCAAAATTGATCTAATAACTGTGTGAGGCTACCTACTTATTGATGCAAATTCGCAAAACACAGAAACACACACAAACAAACATATAAATATATATATTTCCAAACATACATACACATAGAATTATAGAACAGTTATAAAAACTGTAGATAATTCACGTAATACCTGAGTGAACAATGAGAATCGACCCTAACTATGTCGAAAATACCAGTTCTGTTTTTATATATATATATATTCTCTCAATCTCTGACACAGATTTAAGAAAGTGAAACATGTACGATTTATAGACGTTTCCTCTTTTGTTTTTTATCTTATCATCCTATTGGATTCCGATCTATATTTGATTTGCATTTGATATTGCCTTTAATATAAATATATATATATATATATATATATATATGTGTGAAAATATATAGAAAATAGGAAGGAACTGGTTAGGTAAATAATCCAAAGTCCCTTAGTATTTTAGTTATTATTTTTAAAAAATAGTGCTCGATACAAAAGTAGAGCATAAATATAATACAACATAACACACTTCATAATCCATAGCCTCAATTAGTAGTTTAAATACCTTACATATAAGATAACCCTTTATGAAGTCGTCAAAAAACAAACGTTACGAAAGTTTTTCTTTTTTTATATGCACAATTCCCTTTCATAATAAAATAAAATAAAATAAATAAATAAATCTCCATAGACAAGCAAACTAGACGATGGCCAATACATCTTCCGTTTCATTTTTGACACCCCCACCTTTCCCCGACTTGACACCTTGAAAGTATCTCTATACCGCTACTTATTATAAACACCCTACACTCGCCTACCCAATTTAGACAATTCACCATAGCTGTTACCATGAGGATTTTGATTTCAATTTTAAAACAAGTAGATTTCAGATATACGTTATTCCAACAAAAATTTCGCTTGAAGATGGAACGGAGCCCATTTTACTTTCAACTCAATTTAATTTAAAGGATTATATTGAAGTTTTCGACTCTTGTTTTGAAACATGAGACCTCTTATGTAGCGATTTGGAATCATATTTTTAAATAAATAATTATATATATATATATATATATATATATATATATATATATATAATAAAAAGGATACTAATATTCCATGGTCATAATTTATTCCATAATATTATATTTATATATATATATATATATATATATATATATATATATATATATATATAAAATGTATATTATCCTATTGACGATAAATTAGAGTCCATAATTTTAAAATGTAACACGACACAATTGTTGATTAAGTCTATAAGCAATTAAAAAACCCTTATCAAACAAAAGTAGATTTTAGTTAGTATTGATGATACATTCCAAGACACTAAGATATACATACATATACATATGCACATTACATCCACATATACAAATATATAATCATGCATAAATACCCATATCAACTCATCCACATATACACAGATGTAAGTACGCACACCTCCAAGCATATATATATATATATATATATATATATGTACATATACATACATACAAATACAACGATATATATACACATATACATATACACACGCACCTATAGACAAAGTCCGACAATTATTTTAAGACATTTCTTATGTTTATACATTCTTTTTATAGATACAAATATTTAAGTAAATGGTCTGTTTTTCAATAAACAGTATTAAACAAAATTTACCGGCCTGAATGACCGAGATTTTTTCAATTATGCAAGTTTGATTGAAATTCGCTCTCTGCTCGTTGAAAGTACCTTAAGATTTTTTTATTTCATTTTCCTTCGATTCTAAATATTTTCCGTTTTCCGGGAATAATTTGACGATAAATTGACTAATGTTTTCTGGGTGCTTTTGGTCTTTTATATACCATTATCAAATAATTTTTGTATGTTGACTGGGGTTTACCGATAGATATGCATTGTGTTTTTATTTGATTCGATTTTTAATATTTTTCGAGTGCAGCTTTTTCAAGCATCGATGGGTGTCATGCTGCTTTTCTTTTTCAAGTGTCGCATATGAATGCATCAGATTGCAGTGTCCTGTCATGATTGCAAAACAAATGACAGCAATTTAAATGTAATATTGCTTCCTTGCCACTCTCCAGTTTTATGCGTAACATAATTTTGAGCAATGATAACAAAATTAAAAATTATTCAGATTTGTTCATTCATCAGGCAACATTAGAAATTCCTAAATTCCTTGAAAGAGATCTTTGTACAGTCAAGGAATTTGATAGAGACCCAGCTGCATACAGTGCGACACCTGACAAAAGTAAAATAAGGAAATGTATGACTGTCGATCGACAAGAGCAAAGCTAATTGCAAACTGAGATGCACACGCAGACACTTATGAGTATTGAAGAGTTATTCAAAACTATTGGGACCCACTCTAAATGTGTCTAAAACGTCACGGTGTCGCATACTGAAGTGTTTAGAAACGTGCAGAAACCAATTGTTCGCCATCCATTTAAGTCGAATCACCTCATTGGGCGTGTCAGCTAAGCTACACAGTATATGAAAGTGGATTTTCAGAGAATTCTATTCACGGATAATTATAAAGCGACGCTGGATGAGTTGGCAAAATTTGTGGTGCCTGAAGAGCGAACATAAACTCTTTGGCAGAAGCACCAGCAAGGAGTTGGGGGAGTTATGTGTAGAACTAGAATCATCGTAATACATTGTGGACGATGGATTGAAAAATATCTCAATTGCCTCCATTGACAAATTAAATATATATTAATTGTCGGACTTAATCTATTTCATAATATGTTGTCATTGTTTACGTCAAGATATGTTTCATGAGCAGAAATGATCGATCGAGAAAGTTCGTTGAAGGTGTGTGTTTATAATTCGGACTTTGCTAATCATAATGTTTCTCTATGGCTGAATGGTAACGGCACGTCAGCCTCTATGACTGCTCCCATAAGGGTTACAGGTTCGATTCCTGTCACAAGAGCGCATATTATCTAGGAAATTACTCGAAAATTCAGGCCGGGTTTAATTAAAACAGAGCATTTATTTAAATAAATTATATCTATAAAAATAACGTATACACACACTATATATATATATATATATATATATATATATATCAAGTATGTGGTGCAGTTCAATTTACATTACATGAATCATTCATACAAAAAAAAACAGATATAGAAGTTAATGATTTAAATGGCGAGAATACATCTTCGAAAACATTCATCTACAGGTTCGGGGTTAATGTATGATTGTGTATGTATACATGAATGTGCGCGTGCATTCTTTAAAAAGGTAACTCAAACCTCGCTCTATCAAGTTACCAATTTTGTTACGGAGGCAGCATCCGTAACCAAATTGGTAACGGCATGTTTTATCTATAGAAGTGAATTCCCGGAAGGAAAAAGAGGTAAAACTTCGATTCCTGTCAGAGGACCAATCTTTCTTTAGTAGGACGTCTCAATTTATATTTAGTTTATCCACAACTTCGAGAACGATGCTCAACATCTTATCAGAAAACTGGAAAATACAATAAGAAAAATTAAACAGGTAGAACATGTCGGTTACTTTGGAAAATTTGGATGAATACTTTCTGCTTATATATATATATATATATATATATATATATATATATATAAGAATTGGCCAAAGTCCGACAATTTATTAAAACATTTTTATGTTTAACATTCTTTTTATAGATACAAGTATTTGATCCTTTGACGTTTATAATAAACAGTATTAAATAACATTTACCGGCCTGAATGACGAAAATTTTCATAGAAAATATTCATCCTTTGACGTATATGATGCAGGTTCGAATCCTGTCAAAGGACGAATATTTTCTATGAATGTTATTTAATACTGTTTATTATAAACAGAGCATTTACTTAAATACTTGTATCTATAAAAAGAATGTTAAACATAAAATGTCTTTAATATATATATATATATATATATATATATATATATATATGCAGACCCATCCAAAAGTACTAGAACGGAAAGCTCAATTCCTTTGTTTTTGTTGCTCACTGAAGTCATTTGAATTTTAAGATCAAAATATGAATATAAAAAGGGTTCAGAATTTCAGTTTTTATTTCCTAGTATTTACATTTAGATGTGTTAAACAACTTAGGACATACAACCTTTTGTTTGAACCCATCCATTTTCAAGTGAGCAAAACTAATGGAATACGTAACTGACAGGTGTTTCTTGTTGTACATATTTTGTCTTTTGATTGATTGTTTAAACCTTAAATAACTCTGAATGACTACTGGTTTTACTGTATCTCTTGTTAAAAAGGGTAACCCAAATTGAAGACGTGAGAGCTGTCTATGTGAGAAAAGCAAGCCATTCTGAATATGAGAAAAGAAGGAAAATCGGCCAAGAAAACAACAGTATTTGATGACAGAAATATCGTTAAAGCAATGAGGAAAAGCCCAAAACGACAGTCAGTGACATCACCAACAACCTCTAGGCTACAGGGGTGAAGGTTTCACAATCCATCGTTTGAAGAAGACTTTGAGAGTAGAGATATAGAGGCTATACCAAAGGATGCAAACCATTCATCAGTAGTAAGAATGGGAAGATCAGACTGGAATTTACAACGAAGTACATAGATGAAGTACATAGACGAAGTACATAGACAAACGTTCTGGAAGGATATTTTATGGACTTATGAGACCAAGATTAATTTTTAGCAACTTCATCAAGGAAAAAAGTGGACAGTTTTAGACAGGCCAAGTCAATCACCGTACCTTAACCCAATAGAACATGCAAGAGGAGACTGGAGATAAAAAAAAACAAAAAAAAAAAAAAACACCGGAAACAAACAAAAACTGAAAGAGGCTTCGTTAAAAGACTGGATAAACATCACAAAAGAAGAAATCAACAGTTTTGTGATGTCAATCAGTCGCAGGTTTGATGCAGTTAATGAAAGCAAGGGTTATGCAACCAAATAAAAGGTGTTTCATTAAGACGGATCAAAGTGAGCAGTAAATAAATCAGTTTTATGGGTAAAAATTTATTTATTTCTCTACTGGATCATGTTACTTAAGTCATGTCAATTATGTGTGAAAAATAATATCGTCCAAATGTCCGCCAAGGCATCGGTGGCACATCTCCACTCAATGGTCAAAATCTTTGGTGACGTCTCCTCGATCTCATCAATATGCTTTATTATCTCATCTTCCAGCTGTTGAATTGTTGTTGGCTTATTGACATAGAACTTTCTTTTGATATGACTCCAAAGGAGGAAATCTAAAGGCGTCAAGTCGCACGATCGTAGCGGTCAATTGACTTTGCTGTTTCAAGGGATGATGTAACCTGGGAGCCGCTCATTCAATAAAGACATTGTTGCTTTGGTTGTGTGGCATGTGACGCCGTACTTTTGGAACCACAAATCTTCGGCATCGATAGCATTCAATTCAGGCCATAAAACTTTGGTTAACATGGCACGGTATCGATCACCTGGCACCATAATAGAATTCCGGCATCATTTTCGAAGAAATACAGAAATGATTCCACTAGAAAAAATGGACGCCAAACTGACCTTTTGTAGATGCAGTGGCTTTTCAACAGTCTTTCTTTTTCGTTATAGGTTTCGATAACTTTAACTCGTTGTTTGATTGTTAATCTTTTCGTGGTTGAAATTGCCAAAGTCTTAAGTTGTTAAATCTGAAAGAAAGAGAAAAAAATCATTAGATGCTTAAACTTAATTCACATTTAAAATCGGTGTAAGTTATTTATTAAATGTTATTTACCTTAAATCTATCTGTTCCTTTGTTCCAAATGGAGTGATCTGATGAAAAAGGTGGTATATCCTAAGGTGTTTAACACATCTAAATTTAAATGCCAGCAAATAAAAGCTGAAAGTCCGAGCTCTTGTCTCATATTCAGCTTTTGATCTTAATCCAAATTTCTTCAGTGAACAACAAAAACAAAGGAATTGGCCTTCGTGGACGTTTATGAGTATAGATCTGTTTTTTATATACTTATATATATATATATATATGTGTGTGTGTGTGTGTATTCTAATGGAAGGACATAGAGTGATTTTATTGAAGTTTTAATCTTACTTTTATTAATGTTTAATATTACTTTCTTTTTAATATTCTCTAATTAGTTTTGTGATATTTAATTTTTTATCATCTGTAGGTATTTTCATTTTAAATTGATAATTTAATTTAAATTTAAATATATCACTCTTTAACTATCAATATTGATAGTAAAATATTAAAATTAGAAATATTTGTTTTGATATTTAAACACTTAAGTCATCACCTAACGTTAAACATTAACTGCGAAATTAAAGAAAAATGTAAATAGATGTAATATAACTATGGGTAATTATTTGTAAATGTATGTGTAAGTATTTATATATGAATATGTATAGGTACCTGTGTATATCGTCACATGTGTGTGTGCCTATGTGTGTAATTGCACATGTAAATGACGTATGTATATTTAGGATTTGCATAAATGTATATGTGGTATATATATGAGAAAAAAACAAAATCTTTAATATTACCTTCAAATATTACTCCATCTTAATTTGAAACCTAAACTTTAAATAAAAAAAGATTACCCATCTAAAAATAGTTACAAATTACATTCATGAATTAGATTCATACTGATAAAGATGTTACCTTAACAGTCTTTCACAATATTAAAATATATATATCGGTATGCTGTTATACTTAAAAAAAAAATTAATGTGTTCTCTATGAATGTGTTAATAAATACAGTATTTAACTTATATTAAATCCCTAAATTATTTGTAAAAGAGTTAAATATTTAAATTGCTAGCAAGCATCAAATTAATTTCTTCGTGGATTTTTTTGAACATCTAAATTACTATCAAACATTAAAATTTTTTTCTACATAAATTGCTAAAACTATACCACCCCTTTCCTTCCCATGTAAAACCTAATTACAGCTTCTTT